AGAGACAATGCGTATATGGCATTTATTAAATATAAGCAAATATTTACACACTAAATTAAATGTATATAAAAATATGTTGAATATAATATGTTTAATATATAAAATTAATAAAATCTTCTCTATTTATTTTTATTTAATCCATTAAACAATAAAAAATAAAAATCAAATCCTAAAGTGATTGAATTGTAATTTCAAATGTTGCCAGTAGGGGGAGTTTCATGTTTAATACAACACTTTATTTATTTGCGCGCCATTTTTTAAAATTACTAATTTGAAATCGTCATCTACATCACTTAAATTTTATTTCCGACCAGCAATATTTACAACCATCATTCAAAATGAATAAATTCTAAATAACATATTGAATTCAGATTAAAGCAAAACACGTTTAAATTATAATTTTACACAAGACATTGTACCTAACGTATTAAATCTGATCAAACAAAGTAAGTTAATCTCATGAAATATATAATAAATTACATAACCGATTTTAAGTACTTGAAATTTTCTAATTTCAAAATATATGTTAATTTATAATTAAGACGTTTTTGTTTATCATGTTTCCATTTCATAGGTAAGAATGATTCCTTACCTTTTGTTGGAAACATTGTATGGAATATTTTATTGACGTCGCTTTGTGTATAATTATTGAAATTGCCAAATCATCCTGACGGGTTAAGTGATACATTATATAATGTATGCACGTATACCACGTACCATGTATCCACATGTACTCAATTAGTTAATTACAGGAATCTTAAATCAATTTTGACCAGAAATGCTATAAAATGATCCGAAGTCAGATTCTCCTCCACAGTACGTTTGTGGATATATTGAATGAAGTGAGTATTACAGTAATTTAACGTTCGAATTAATCAAAATATATAAGGAATAACTTATATTATTCTCTCAACTGATATAAAAAGCAAATTAATGAACAGCTACTTTCTTATTTTTTACTAATATTCAAAACGAAATTAAATAAAATTTTTGTTTCAAAATACTATTACACCACATTAAATAAATTTTATTTCTTCCGTATTATCAAACAATTGAATTGTAATGACTATATTATAAAGTAGTCTACCTGATGTAGTATTGTTTAATAACATAGTATTAAGTTTTATTGAAAAAGTTTCCAAATCTGCAAGTAAATAAGATCTGATTTTAATTAATCAGCAATAATTAATTAGCAAATTTAACGAGTTATGTTTGCATTTCATGCTTTTGTAGGATTACAAGACAGTTATTTATGTTTGGCGTTGCATAACAACGCCATATTCAGTTAATGTTAGATGGGATGGTCCCTTAAATAAACTATTTCGATCCTTGGAAATGAATATTAAATATTTGAATTTAACATTCATTAACATTAACTTTTCTAATCAACGAAATATGAAATAAAATTGAACGAATAATAGTTGCAAAAAATAAGGGTTCACATGTTATAGAATCCAGACAATTAATCACAATGTTATTGGACGCATGGATGATATCCGAAATTTTCGGCGCAACGATTCTCCTAATCTCTGCACTGTATATATATTATAAACTTTATGTCTTCGCTTTCTGGCGCAAAAAGGGAGTGTACAATGTGGAACCTACGTTCCTTACGGGACACATGATGCCACTTTTGACTGGCAAAATATCGCAAGGTAAGTGTTTAATTTCGCTGATGCCACACAAATGATAAATTACATCAATTATATAACGACTTGTGTAGCAAATGAGGTCATCCTCATTTCTTTTTAAAACGTTCGATTTTACACTTTTGAAGACAATATTTATTTTACGAAGACATATGGTCGAATCAATTTGAAAAATTGTATTCCAGAATAAATAATAAGAATGCAACTCAATAATTTGCAAAAATATTGATTTTACAGAATTAGATCATAAAGTTTTATCGGGGCAAAAATGTGTGCAAGAATATATATCTTTTATTATAACTCTAGCCATTATTGTTCTTATGTTTGAAAAATTAAAAAGTCATTGTTACTGTATAGGTGATTTTTTCAAAGACGCATACGATCAAAACCGTAAACACCGGCTTCTTGGATTATACATGTTGCACAAACCGTATTTGATGGTGAACGATCCCGATATAATTCGAGAAGTGTTGACGAAAGAATTTTCAAGTTTTCACGACCGCGGAATATTTTCCAATACGGAAACAGATCCACTCACGGGCAATTTATTTCAATTGCCCGGAAAAAAATGGAGGCAATTAAGGGTGAAACTGACGCCGACTTTCACGTCCGGGAAGATTAAGCAAATATTTCCGATTTTGAAGGAAACGGGAGACACGCTGGCAAAGTATTTGGATCGCAAAGCCGAATTGAAAGAATCGATCGACGTAAAAGAGGTTTTCGCAAGGTGAGCAATTGTGAAGGGTCGTCCAGTCAGGTGCCAATTTGTGAAGAACAACCCTTGTATGCCACTCCATATAATTCAAACATCGCTAACAATAGATAAATTATCGATCACCGAACAGCTTTAACTAACACTTTTCGTTTAAATTGTAATAAAATCGCGATATATAAAATCGTAGATCAACGTTTGAAAGGTCATTGTAAAGAGGAATCTTCCCTTCATAAGGTCCCATTAAAATGAATCTAGAAAAAAATTTGATAAACTCTATGAAGTAGTTTGAATTTATAAAATTTGGAATGCAAAGGGTCATTCAATTTCTCTGTCTATTTTATAATAAACAAGAGCCGTTGAAAATACTGAATTCGAGGGTGTAAAAATAGAGACTTTGTTCTTTAAAATGAGTATAGGCAAGAGGTTGTCAGATTTTTTTCACGAAGGTACAAAATTTCGAAGATCGACGATCCTGCATATCCTTTTGTCAGACTTTCGTGAAACGAGGGTTCATCAACTTGTTTTTCAGGTATTCGGTTGACATCATCATGTCAGTCGCGTTCGGAATAACTTGCGACAGTTTCAAAAATCCGGATAACGAATTTCGTTACTGGGGTAAAAGGATATTGGAGCCTAGACCTTTTTGGAACGGTCTCGTATTTTTCGCGCCGCAAGTGTTCGATTGGTTCGGGATACCGTTCAATGAACGAGGGATCACCAATTTTTTTACCACCATGTTTCGAGAGACGGTGGAGTATCGTGAAACCCATAATATCGTTAGGAAAGATTTCTTGAACTTGTTGATGCAACTAATCCGAGACGGATACGTTAATCCTGACGATGATTCGGTGTCCGAAAATACTCAAGCAAGTAATGATCGTTTTCTTCTTAATAAATGGTATATTTTAAGCATAACAACGTGAAAGATGTTTCATTTGGAATGTAACTTATTGTGAACTGATTTGTAGACAGTAGTTAATTAATTTTAATAGCAGTCGACTATTGCGTACGTTTTCGTACTGTTTAGAGGCAGCGGAGAATAAATTGACGATGAAGGAGGCATCCGCGCAAGCTTATGTTTTTTATTTAGCCGGATTTGAGACGTCTTCGACCACAGCCACATTCTGCTTGTACGAACTAGCAAAAAATCAAGATATACAAGATAATTTGCGGGACGAGATTCGAAATGTTGTAAAAAAACATGGCGGTATCACATATAACGCAATAAATGATATGCGTTTTCTTGACAAGGTAATCTCAGGTATGTAAATGATAGCCTGGGAACGCAAACATGTTATTATATATGTTATTATAGTATAAGAAGTTGCACGTTTTTTGTAAGTAAAATTTTTTTTAAATTTGATTAAGTTGTCAATCCAATCGAGACCATGACAAAATAAATAATAAACAGATGAAGTGTTAAACTCAAGAGGAATTATTAGACACATAACGCTAGATCATTCGTTGGTTCACGATCGTTACTGCTATTTATAAATTTTATTTACGTGTGAAACATATCCTTACCTATATATCATAAATTTCAAAAGAAATTATACAGTCGCTAGTATATTTTTTTTTTAAATTGGATTATGATCAAAATAAAAATTCAAACTTTTTTTCAGAAACTTTGAGGAAATATCCCCCGGTTGCCTTTCTAAATCGCGTCTGCACAAAGGAGGTACTGTTGGAATCCACAGGCGTGACCGTGCCCCTAGGAACTCCTCTAGTAATACCTGTTTATGGTATCCAAAACGATCGGAAAATATATCCAGACCCAGAGAAATTCGATCCAGATCGCTTCAGCGAGGAGAATATTAAATCCAGACATCCGTACGTTTATTTGCCCTTTGGAGAGGGACCAAGGGTATGCATAGGTAAGAATCGTTTATCTAAACTTTTATTCAATTTAAACCACATAAATTTCAATGACTAATCTTTATTTATATAATTTTTTTATAGGCTTACGATTTGGACTGATACAAGTCAAAGTTGCTATAATAAACGCGTTGCTCAATCATAGGGTGAAACCTACACCGGGTATGCCGGACACCCTGGAATTTTTAGGCGGTACTATTGTTTTAATACCAAAAGGGGGTGTGCATTTGAACTTTGAAACTGTGGCATGATGAATTCAACTATGAAAATTCGCATTGTCCCACCTAGCACAGATGATAGTAGAAAGGTAGATGATAGTAACTATAAACCACTGAACGAGGCAAGTCGATACAGTAGATCATCGACACATCAGTCGGTGTCCGATTGTAACTATTTATTTCCGCCCAGCGATTTGTCTCGTTGAAGAGGTTTTACGCCAATGATCCTGAAAAACCTACGTTAGCGAAAAATAAGAAGAGGGAGACGGAGAGGAAGACGTCAGCTGTGTTTGATAGGGCAATAACTATAATCTCCACATGACCCGTTCACTTTAAAGAATATGTTTTTAATTTTGGATATAAAATAAACGCATAACTGTTTCGAAAACACAACGATGAAAATGTATAATTTCGATGAATGTTCGATTCTCAATGAAACGTCGATATCTCTGTTCGAACCAACGATCTGTCGATTAGAAACAATCTTACGCGAAATAAGATGATGAAGATGCGCTCTAGATGATCATAAATTAATTTGTTTTTATCTGTTCACACCACGATATCCTGCGCAGAACATTTGAAACTCCAGTACACCATTCGATCGTACAGCTTCCCGTTGAAATGAAGAAAATAGAAACGACGTGATCCAGAGCTGGATTTGAAATTCGGAGTGGGTGGTTTCAACAACGTTTTATTTCATAGACTGACATATGGAACGCAACGGTACCCCGGTACTTCCGAACAGTAGATGCAAATTATCTGCGCGGACACGGAACACATCGTTTCAGCACCGATCAGACAAAATATTCGTTGATATACTTGTTGGGCAACTGCGTGCCGTACCGCTGTTGCGTATCAATCTGTACGGGGATACCTTGTTTCGTAAACATGATACGCAACGATGATACGCAACGATAATACGCACCGCAATATGAATCCTCCTCGTTAGCACGTTTCCCTAATCGGTGCTGAACAGATACGCCCCGTGTCCGTATAGACAACACGAAACTACCTCAAAGAGCAACAACTAGATTCCATTGGATCGTCGACCCAAAGGGAAGCTAATAGCGATAGCCTTTGGTGTCGTAACCGTCAGCAGGTAAGGAGTTGGCTAGAGTAATCAGTTCGGAACGAAAGACTCCATTGGTTGCGCGAAGATCGGCAGCGTCCGCAGCCGCGGCGGAAGCTAGAAGAGCACCATGAGGTCCTTGGAGAGGACCAGCTTCTTGCACATAGCCGGGTCCACGGAGAGGACCAGCTTCAAGCAGATAGCCGGGTCCTCGGAGAGGAACAGATTCTCGCAGATAGCCGGGTCCTCGGAGAGGACCAGCTTCTTGCAGATAGCCAGGTGCTCGGATAGGGCCGGCTTCCTGCAAGGGGCCGGGTCCGAGAAGAGGCCCGCCTAGTTGAAGCTGTCCTTGCGCGAGATGCGGTCCGGGACCCTGCAGAGGTCCGGATAAAAGCGCGGATTCCTTGAGACCTCCAGCCGGGAGGAGAGGGCCGGACTCTTTGATTCCTTCGGCAACCAGGATGGGCTTCCTGAGAGGACCGTCCTGCGGTAGTTTGACCGGCTGCGCAACTTCCACAGGCTGGTGGCTCAAAAGCGCAGCTGAACCTGCACTATCCGCCACGCTCGCAGCTGCGGCTTGCGCGTTATTCTGAGCTGCCGCAGCCGCGGTTGCGGCATTCTCTGCAGCGTTTTCGGTCGTCTTATAATCTAAACGCGCAGCTGTGAGCTGCTCGTCGACGGTTTCCGCTCGGGCCTTGGCCTGGCCCAGCATTGTGGTTTGCGCTGCCAATTCCGCAGAAGCCTCAGCGGCCGCCTGAGCCGCGCGATCTGCCGTGGTCTGAGCCGCGTTCAAAGCTGCCGTGATCACCTGCAACTGGTGCATCGCCTGCTTCGCGGATGTCCGCGCTGCGTTCGCTGCACGCTCCGCTTGTTGCAACTGCAGATTCTCACCATCCACTGCCACGTGGGCGTCCCGCGATTGCTGCTCCAGGCCCTGCACCACGATCTGCTTGCCAGCGAGCGCAGCTGCTGCGGTGGCAGCCGATTGAGCTGCAGCCTGTGCCAACGTGTTTTTCGCAACATACGCAGCCTGGCCGGCCGCGGACTCCTGGTTGCTCAATTGTGTGTGAGCCTGTTCCGCTGCACCTTTCGCGATGCCGGCCAGCGGCCCGCCCACGCTGTAGCCTGGTTTCGTGGGACCTCGAGGGGAGCTAATCGCGACTGCTGATAAGCCTGGTTCCGGGTCCAAATACGCTGCCGAGTCGGCCAGGCCTAGCGAAGACTCATGTTGGGCATACCCATAGTCGTAACCACCCAGTTGAGGATCAAGCACTTGCTTCTTCGCGGGACCACCGTGTGCTAGGCAAAGACAGCCCAGTAGCAGGAAAAGTTTCTTCATTGTTGAGGTCTTCGGAATATAGTCCAGTATCAGGTCAACGGCTTCTGTAAAGAGAAATGACTGGTGAATTTGGGTACGTTCAGATCGAGATACTGACTTCCAATTTTTCATTTTGATCAGATGTGGACGCTGATTTTATTGACTTTTGTTCCTTGTCAGTTTCGTTCTAAACAAGAAACATTGATGGTACAACATGATTCTGCAATCGTGCAGGTAATGTATATTTGTAAGAAATAACAAATTCATTCATTCGTGTTCTTTCATTTGAAAAAACGACGTTTTATCTGGATTCTAGCTTGACGCTGTTATGTGAATGCATAGTACGGGTGTGACCATAACATTAGGAAAAATTCGCCTTGACCTGCTATCTACTGTCGCTTCACCTTGAATATGGTGAACGGTAAATCATATACTTAATTACATCGTGGATGTAAATCATAATGAATTTATAAGGGAAACAATTACATACAAACACAAGATTCTATGGATGTATTGAATAAAAATGTGACACGAAGTGTATGCAAACTAAACCGAACACTCATTAAAGAATTCCTGAAAACAGAAAAATCTGCATAAGTTTGCTAAACGTCGTGTAACATAAACGAAAGAACAATGATTGTACATTTTGTGAACATTGGTTCATATCGAATTAGTTCATTCAACATTACGTTGCAATGGATGAACATATTAATTCATTCAATTAATCGGATTTGTAATTTCTAATTAACGGAGAACTGTATGAAACTTGGTTGTTCGTTTCACAAGTATTTACTTTCGCTCCGCTCGATCTGAGGTAAATATAGCGGGGTTACGCAATCGAACGCGGATCATAATCGAATAGTTCGCGCCTAATGGAGTTAATTCGTATACCAACTCCGGGGAATATTGATTGCATGTCTCTTTACGAAATTCCGGATTGACGTAAAATATTCATGACGCACGTACCACCTTTCCGGCGCAACTCTGTCGCAATTACCGCCGCCGGTTCAAAACCAAAAGTCTAGTTTCGTCGCGCTCTGAAAAGCAGCAGTATGTGAGCGCATAATTAAGCCGCAGCAGTCGCAGATCTTATCTGCGTTTACGTGCGATTCTACGCGCGTGTTCAAATGAGGCAAAGTTTCTTCGATAAGAAACGATTTTTTGTCGGACAGCCTTTCGAATTCGATCCGAGACACTCTTGACACAACATAAATCTACAACTTCGCGGAAATGTTTTTTTATAGGTATTCATTAGTTGAATATGAGTCTGTAAACTTTGTATTAATTCTTGCGCGCACGGCTTCTGCGAACATCGAGTTGCAAATGAAAACGCTTATTTTCACATTCAAAGGCATCTCGTGCTTTGACATTAATATTTATAGTGATCTAGTTTACATGGTCATGAAGTCTCCTGAATCAGAAGATGCAGTTTGATACTATGTTATCAGTACGGATTGATGATTATAATCTCAAAATACAGGTCATTCAAAAAATGATTATGAACTTTTTCTGATACAGCGTGGTCATTAAAAATCATATTAATAGACTTCTCAATGATTATTTCACATAAATTCTGTTACTAGCAGTTGTTTAAGAAGTTAGGAATCGCGAATTTTTAATTCACTTTTGTATTTATCCTGGTTTTATTGATATAGTTTCATTTTACTTAAAAAATCTTAAATATCAATCAGAATTATTCAATGACCGTCTATATATCTCGAATGCAAGTTCGATTTCCGTGAAAATAAAACTTGAAATTCCCTTCTATAATTTTGTCAATGTCTCTGAATAAAAAAATCATCCATTGTTCCGTAGTGATATGATTTATGTTTGACGTAGTGTATAATTAACGTGGACTGATACACTCTATAGCAGTAGTAAACAAGTGTGCGGGAAAAACTGAAATATTCAGGATTACGAAAGAGGTACGTGGACCAATTTTATGACTATAAATACAACAAGAAACGACCGGTACTAAAACTATGCTATTGCGAAACTGAAACGCACTATCGTAAAGGTAAATGTGCCGAAGAAAGGATTCCATATTTCAGAACAATTGAAACCGTTGTCCTATATATTAGTCGCGGACGAAGGCGTGGTAATTGTATACATATTCATTTACGTCGTCTTTCATTCATACCCACGAGAAACCATTCTATTGAGATTTAGAAAAAAATTATGAAAATATGTCAAGGAATTGACTTTCGCAGTAAATGTTTCAAACATGAGTAATACATCGCAGCGTGAGTTACGATCATCGCGTGAGGAGTACGTTTGGAAAAAGGTGACCGGAATTGTTAATCAAAATAGTAGTTAATTATTTGGATAAATACAAAGGATAAATACAAAAGTGAATTAAAAATTCGCGATTCGTAACTTCTTAAACAACTGCTAGTAACAGAATTTATGTGAAATAATCATTGAGAAATCTATTAATATGATTTTTAATGACCATGCTGTATCAGAAAAAATTTATAATCATTTTTTGAATGACCTGTATTTTGAGATTATAATCATCAATCCGTACTGATAACATAGTATCAAACTGCATATATCCAATATGTACTGCAATCCAGACAAAATAAATTATTAATGCAACCGATTAATATTACAGCAAAAATTGAAAAGGTGTAATGAATGCAATTAAATAAAACCTTAGCACTCAAGCTCATAATCAGCGAAAATATGTTCTGCACATATTTTGCAATTTGTACCTTTCATATAAGATATAAATCACACGTGCCACGAATAGAAATTTCACTTCGTTGATTTGCTTTATTGTAGCATTAATATTACACAAAGAACAGCATAAGTAAAACGAAGTATTAATATATAGATTAACTTCAATCAGTTACCGTAGTACACTCAGATAAAATATTTTGCTTCTCCACTTTTGATATGAACGCAGACACATTTTGTTTATACAACAAGATTGTTTAAAAATATTTGATCGAAATCACGAGTCGTAAATGATTAAGTTCACACTATTACAAAAATTTGTTCTTTCATCTCATACAAATAAAATAACGATAAATATGCACCGAACAAAATATGCAAAGTATAATATAACAAAATATGCAACAAACAATTAAAATCTATTTTTCACTCACTCGAACGATCGACGCACAAAAATGTAAATTTACATTGAGAATTTCGATGTATTTATAAAATTTAGAAATTTTCTAAGAAGACAGCTCCATAGCAAACATAATAATTTATAAATCTAAATTGTATAAATAATAATTTAGAATAAAGAAAATGTAAGAAAATAAATATTGAAGATCCGCAGAAAAAATAAAGATACGCAGCCGAATCATCACAGTTCCGAGATCGGTAATTTGAGTAAACAATATTTAGTACTCACCTAGTATAATAACTGGACCGAACGAGCGGTTCAAGAGTCGATGGTGTCTTTGCTCAAGGAAACAACTAAGGACTGATACCACTTACTTGTTCATTGGAGTTCTTATAGCTCTTGTAGTGTAAGCTGGTGGTAGTTACGGAAGGGGTTGAGGACAGTGCAAACAACGATTAGATTGCTTTTTTTTCTTGAAGTTGCAAAAGAAAATATGTAGACAATTTATTATCCTAATTTTCTCTCCATTTTTTAAAACCAAACGATCGACAAATATCTGCTATTGTTTATCCGTATTATTCTCTGTCCATAATTATGCAGATAACAAATTCGTAGTTTTCGAAAGTATTTTATTTTTACACTTATCTTTGTCCGATTTTATGATATACAAAAATACGTATGTTGAAAACAATATTTTTCGCTCACTTTCACTGGAAAATCCGTATTTTGCGGAATATTTTTTAAAGTAATTCTAAAATCGAGCATCTCGACATGCAAAATTCGATAAAGTCGCGTTTCATTTTGTTTCCCTAGTCGACGTACATCCTCGCACCATATTATCCGTAAGAAATTTGCCACCTTGGTATATGATGATTTATATGAACTACAGCCCCTCATTTACCTGAATTCATCGCCTGCAGCATGTACTTCTTTTATATCCTCTGTATCGGTGAGTTCTATGAGAAGTTCATCGATACTCGTTTCCATAACCAAAATGACTATTCCTTTAGTAGTAATGCTGATGATTGAGAACCACGATTGCGGAAGGTATCATAAGATTCCAGTTGGTGCAGTAAGTTCAGCACCCTTTTTCGATTACCCATTTCCCCGATTGCATTTTTCGTATGTCTCGCTCCAAATCAAATGTTCTATTAACCTATAGTAGGAAGAAATCGTACACAATAATGCAAAGAAAGATCTGATAAAATTTATGAAACGGTTTTGTTCACAATTTAACAGAACCGTTCATGGAAGTGTTAATTATAGATAAACATTATTGTAACATATTTCGCCAACAATTATGTCTGTGCTTTACATGTAAATAGTTTCTGAAATGATTCAAAGTATTACGAGTTATCGATATATGTAGATTTGTCCTTCACGTGGAGATTTTGCCGTTTTTATATTCCATTAGAATCAGAGGGAGGTGCGTTACGCGGAAGGTGAAACTAACAGTCATACTTGTCGCAATGGTGACAAAAAGAATCCGGATCAAAAAAGTAGCAGCCTTGCACAGAAAGCTGCGCAAGAAGCCAAAGCAGCCTCAGATGCTCAAAACATTGCTGGTCAGCAAGCCGCTCATCAAGTATGCCTATTTCTACGTCATATAAAATAGATTTATGGCAACTAATCATTAGTTGTTATTAGGAACGAAGAGGTTCCTCCATTCATAGAAACTTTAGAACATTGTGGAGGATAAAAATTTTGTATCCAACTTCTAATGTGTTCAATTAATAATTTAATTATCATTCAAAGTAGCAATTAAAATTGTAATACAGTAACCATGATCACAAATTAATCCTTTCGCTACAACAGATTTTTATTAAACACCGCACGCGCAGCATATAGTGGTTTAACCGCAACCTACGCTACGAACGACGAATTTTTTCATCGGCGCGCATTTTTCAGAATTGCATTGGTGAATTGAAATGGCTGCAACTTGACACACTGTGCCGCATTATATAAGCGCGTTGTAACAATTTCTAGTTAGATTTGCTGGACGCCTATAGGCGCCAATAGCGCATTAGAAGCAAATTTTCAAAGCGTCTGTATGCGCCAACATTGGTGTAAATATTGTAATAATTTGAGACAACGAAAACTATTATTAGAATTTTTAGGGTGTAAAAGGTGTTGAAAAGATAAATGTTTAATGCTGTAAAGCATTGTTACAAAATTGAAGCAAACTTTTAATAGATCCTGAAACATGAATTATTAAACCCAAAGACCAATGAAAGATTCATATTCGCGAATACATAAATCGAATAGATTTAATCTATGTAATAGATATGGTTTTCCCAGATCTTGATTCCTTGTTCGTATCCTATATGATTTTCGAATTGTTCATCGTTATGCAACTAATCGTTAAACTACATATAATTCCCACGTTATGATCAGTTACTGACTTTAATTATTCTTAATCTATATCATACTGATTCGTGTATTGGAGTCTATAGGGTTTCATTCAAGTAAAAGAAGACAGCCAAGGCCAGACGAGTTTTGATCTTATAAGTTTCCTTATAAGTTTTTATTATATTAATTTCCCTAAAATTTAAATTTTGGTTGCCAGAAACTTGATGTTTAAATAACAATTTTTAAGTTCTGGATTTAAATGGACCCGGACCCCTCCAAGTGTTGATAAATAAACATAGGAACTTGACGATCTTTTTCAATGCACATTGTTTACGTCCGATTCGATGTTCAGGTGAAAACCCAACTGGCCGAAAAAGCAGTGCACGCTGCCAAAGCTGTGGACGAGGTACTTTCACGGAAGAAGATGTTGGTAGCAGAATTGCAGGAAGAGGTAAAGGAAGCTCAATCGGTCGTGCAAGAAGAGACCTCGTCTTTGGATCGGGAACAATCGAATGTCAACGCTGCTTTGCAAGCTGCACGACAATCTCAAGACCAGGTGATCCATAAATCTTCACAACAAAATATTTTGAAAGACAGGCCACTTAAACACGAACCACAAAATCCTAGCATTTGCAATTCATAGAAATTTGCAACATAGAAATTTCAATAATACTAGATTGACAGTTTCTGACTTTTCGTTATTCTCGTTATGTATGATTTTCTTAGGCTTCTACGAATCATACCTGAACTAACGAATTGCTAAACAAAACACGTTGTTGATCGAAATGAGAAACATTTCGAGTTCGAAAACTACAAATCCATGTATACATATATGAAAATCGGAAGTCTAATAATAAGATAGAAAAATGCTTTGCGAACACGATCCAAAGTACAGTGTATGGACTATGGATTTAATATACACGCAGTGTACGCAAATGTGGGAAACACAACAAAAAACCTGCCTCACCAAGGATTGCTAACTTTCAAATTACTGCAACTAAGCCTGCAACTTCATTGAATTCTTAATCGCTGGGTAGAATTTTTCTCTGAGTTTCTATAACTTACAGTTTTACCACAAAGTTTCGTAGCCTTATAAATTCAGCTCGTTCATGTTGCAAAACAAATATACTCTTCTACTTACACCAGAGGGCACTTAATGAGCAAAAATAAAATTTTCCCTTCATCCGATGTTCACAAAATAGTAAAACCAGGAATTTGCATAAGGATCCACGGTCTAGACAATATAAACGATATTATTGATTTCAACGATAAAGCGATTTTCAAAGCGAAATTCAAGGGCCATGTATGTTCATGGAACCATTTTTTGGGATAGAAAACGAAGTTCTAGGCACCAAAAACGCCATAAGCGCATAAGATCGTGACCGTAATTCTACCAAAGCCCCTGGGATAGGTTTCACGTTGCCATTCCCAGAATAAAGCGATCGAGACCGTTGATCTCTCGATCGCGTATTGAGAAAGTCTCGGCGAGTGAATCATTGTATTATCGGCGCGCGTATTACATGACCTTACAGGTTCCGCGAAACAATTGCATCGGATTATTTATTCGATGTATGCAGTATCCATATCGCATTTACCGTTTCCGTTTCCATGGTTCGAGAATAGCTAAAGACGCTGTCGCACGCGGTGCAAACGGCCAAAGCGAACGCGGCGAACGCGCAGGCGGCTGCAAGCGGCGTTCAAAAAACCTTGCGAGAGAAAGAGGAATTGTTGGACGCGGCGAGGAGGCGGGTCGACGAATTGTCGAATCAGTTGAAAGTCGCTAGACAGGAACTCACTAACACGAACCGAGCGGCTGCCAAAGCGAACGCCGCGGCGACCGAAGCGAAAGCCAATGCTAGCAGGAACAAAAGGCGATTGGAGAACATCAGGAGGATGAGAGTCGTCAAACGGTAATTCATTTTGTATCACTGCTCGTTGCTGATCATGTCATTACCAATCGCACGTATAATGTTCGAGTAGCTTCGCTGACTGCAGAGGTATATATCTATAATTTTGCGAGAAAACAATGTGATATCATGAATGGGCAAGATATCAATTTGTCCTTGACTATATCGGTACGATGAAACAAGATTAGTCACTGTCATTGATCCTCCGTCAAGAGTCAACGTACTATAACTTCAGTTTTCACTTATTAGACATGATTAATCTTTTAACACTAAACTTACCGCGCCGGTTAAAATGACCGGTTTTATTGTAAAATGCTGAAATTATGCAAGCTCTCACGCAAGAAATGATGAAATAAATTTCTTAATTTCAGCATACGTTATAATAACAATTATTCGACGGAAATAAATAAATGCTTTGAACTGGGTAGATTTAGGGTTCAAACTGAAAGACCGCGGATTTTTTGATCTTTTGTTCTCGAAGCTGCTTGAACTTCGGGTCTTAGACGCTTCGTCTGACCCCGAGATCACTTTCGCCTATTTTGCCTCATTTCATGTATTTTATAAAGTGCAAAAGATCTTTTCGGAGACTTGCAATTTTGTTTGTAAATTAGCAAGTGATCTCGATCAACGTTACCGAAGCTCCGAAGTAAGTTAGTCGAAACAAAGAATAACCTTCCACGTACACTGAATGTTTAGTGTTTGGTAGCTTGTGTCGTTGTTTTACCGGAACAGCGATATGTATCTATACACACAGGCTCTTGCAACCTTTCATACGTAGCACTACAGGGTTAGCCACTTTAGACGGAACCATTGAAGGCGAGGACAACCGCGTATGGCAGCAATGTGACCTCTACAGACACTACCACGCGCGTTGAGCTTGCAACTTTTCATGCCGCTCAACTTCCCGCAGGATACGGTACGAAAAGTTGATTCCAAAATCGTTCAGATATCGTCCTGATTTAATTAGTTCATTGCCACCGGTTTCGTGGCGTGCTTAAGCTTGTTTTTCTGCAAATAAAATACGCAATTGAGCACGTTTAAATTATCGTACGAATGATAAAATTTGATTTCGTTCACTGGTCGACCAGATTGTTCTTGGAATTCCTAATTGTACTGAGGAAAGCTTGCTAATTGACAGCAAATGTTTCTCGATTAAAGCGGATATACTGCTCAGTGGTAAAACTCTATAATGTAGCTTTTAAAAATAGCAGATTATTCTGTTAGATTCTCGAAGTAAATCGTTCCCATGGGACTGAACGTTGATAGTTACGTGTCCCGTCGTGCTCATACCTTGTCAATCACTTTCATTTATGCTGTCGCCAGAGGAGCATAAAGTGGTAACGCGACAGCAAAGAAATGGAACAGAGAAACCACTCGCAAACTGAAAATGGTTTCGTTCCGAGTGACTACTAGTAATTACTGTGGAATTAGAATGCATCTAACAAGATTCATCTTCATCGATCTAACTTTTCATAGTTATTTTACTTGTTTCATTTCTGCTTACAGATGCGCACACGATCAAAAATGAACGGTGACCAATGCTTCTAGAAAGGCGTATAAGACTATAAAATATTATATGTTGTACTTCTTAATTGGATAAAAATAAATTTACACTGCAATCTCGAAACTCGTTGATAAACATTAAATGGAGAATAATTGTCGTAATTGGAGATCAACGATCCGTGGAAGAATCGTAAGATAAATATTCAAAAGCTTTTTCTGAACTAATGAATTTGTAGACGATCATAAGTGTGACACGCTACGTAGATAAAGTTCCAGAAGCTTTTCCTGATCGACGCTTTAATCTTCGCCGTCCCGGAAAGCATTATTACGTCAATGATCTTTTATCATTAATACGTTTTAGTCACGTTCGCTGACATTTACATTGAAATCGTGACTTACCCCTACAGACGTGTCGACACGCTTCAGCGAATCAGGACCTTTCTAGAGCAAAACCCAATGACGCATTTGCCCAGTGACTACATACATACATATACGAAAGTCATGCACACATTCTGACCTATTCGATTAAACTCTATTCAGAGGTGTTTGTTCGAATTCCCAAAACCATTCAGACCGGTCTCAGTTAATTGACCAGAAAAATACTAATTTAGCTTCATGTAAACATTATTATGGCTTCGCGCATTTTTGCGATTTAGTAAATCTTATGAAATACTTTTGCCTTTATCCATCAGAGAAACTGCATTTTAAAATTGCAGCTTCCAAAACATCTGCAGCATTGATGCTTTGTAAAATGTCACAACCTACACGAAAGATTCATTGTTACTGATATTACTCGTCCTTGAACTTTGAGACTCTCCTTTTAACATTTTCTATGTGAAAATACAATGTAAACAAAATAAAATGATAAAACGTTGAAATTTCGTTCTCTATTACAGATTTTCTCATTTAACTCTTCGAAATATTTCTCTATGCTGCATTTTAGAAAACTAGATTGTTAGAATATGCTTATTTGTAGTCTGGTAATATGTCACTAAAATTTGATTTTTTTTTAAACGGAGATTAAAAAGGTATCATAATTTTTATCTATGCAGCGGTTTGCCACATTGACAAATCCATCCGGCTATCTCACTCCCATTCGATGAATGTCTCGTTCATCGGCCTAGGATTCAGTGCCCGGTATTATCTTAATTGCCATCGTGCCCCTCCCACGGAAAGTGCACACCATGAACGCGTATTTTTTGAAATTTGCTAGAGACTGCCATGTAGACGAATGCTGTGCCCGTACATTCATACGTAAGAAACGCGGGTCAATACTCGCAGTTCGTGACTATCTCAGGTGTTCTTGTACATATCACACAAGTGTGTACGTATAAACAACTTAGTAATACAACCAATTCAAGTGCGAATGCAAAACAATTCAGTAATGCAGTCAATCTAAATCCGCACACTTTATTCTTTTTATATAAACAATTTATATCATCATCAACGAAAATGGCGCAATCATGCCTGAGCACGTTTACAATCAAAGTGATCATAATCTAATTTTCCTTCGCATTTTTCCTTTTAGTATAATATTATATGATATGTATGGACCATTTTAACTCTTCAATTGCGGAACCGGCGACCATTTTGGTCCCACCATTTCAAAGACATCATTTATTTCTTCGAACTAATTTAATTTAATTTCAATTGGAGGCTGTTTAATAAGATGCAAAACAACATTTGATAAACAACTGCCGAATTTAATTAAATACTGCTGACTACATGTTCCTGTTGAAAAATCGGAAAATTGTTTTGATCCATCGTATATTACTCTTCTCTGATGTATATAAATGAAAAGATTGGAAATGTCAATGAAACGTCTTAAAAAAGCGATAAAAATAATTTATTCACGTGGGAATTGATTTGCAATCATTTATATATAGAAATGTTTTATATAGAAATTCTCCTTCACAGATTAAAATACTGTTATGTTACGTTATTTACAGGTTATGACTCTCTAATTCAATAAACTAGAATACATATGTAAATTCTTGTGTATGGAATCCTGTAAACACATCATTTTAATTTATCAGAATAAATTTTTAAACATTGTACTTGCATCTGTAAGAAGTCCGGTTGCTTTTTGAACCAAAGAATTAATTGTTTAAATGTCCTCCCAACAACCATTTTGTTTAAACACGAGTCATCATCAAAGCAAGTTTGCAAACTTATTTCGTTTCTTTCATTTCCTGTTCGACAGCGTCACCTATCTTTGTGCACGTAGATTATCTACTTAATCGATGGTAACATTCCCTTCTGTTATCATCTGAGCACTGTCTTCTATACATATATCTGTATCACACTCGCAAAAAATTCGCCTCTAAGATTGGATATATATGGTGTAAGGTCTAAGATCTCAGGTCTAAGGTCTAAGGTCTAAGGTCTAAGGTTTCCCCCAATTTCCCCCATTCCGGACGAGTCCCCATTTGCATATTCTTGAGGAAAAAAGGAGGGAACCGCTCTGTAATAAACTCTTGTATTTATCATAAAAAGTATAGATTAACAATTTTTTATTATGTACTAATTCAAAAGTTATTGTCCTGATTGAGGTTACCTGTATTAGGTAAGGTTTTGTTGTTTGTTTACGTTCTGTTTTGACGTAAATTATATTCTACATTATTGTTTACTGGTAGGTTGTGTTAAAAATAATATTTTTAATAGTTAGTTAACATGGAGACCGTCGTGAAAACTTCCTGGGTAGATCTAACGGATGAAGAAGATGCTCTTCTCAATGAAGCCATTTGCATGAGTTCGAATGAACTTGGTAAAATATTGGAGTTGAACAAAGAAAGCAAAGTTGCTCAAAATCCCTCAAAATCACAGTTTCATGAAGATAAAGTTACTGTGAATATAACGACAAATGTCACTACAAATATTAATAAAAATGTGATCATAAATCATACGACCAACATAAAATATGAAGATAATGTTAAAAATAAACCAGAAGATGTGAGGTGTTTACGCAAGAGGACTAGAGAAAATAGTGTACACCATGAAGATACAAAAGTTTTTCGAAGCAGACATGACAGTGTATCTAGTTCTACTACAAATTCTTCCGATAGCAGTAAAAAGCGTGTAGAATATGAAACAGATCCTATTGTATTAGCACGTAGACAAAAAGAAATAGATTATGGAAAAAATACCATTGGATACGATAGATATATTCAGACTGTGCCTAAGTAAGGATTTTATAAGCAACAATATTACTGTGAAGGTATGAAATACTTAATTCTATTAATTATATACATTTATAGAGAAAAACGTGCAAGAGAACATCCAAGAACGCCTCCAAAGTATATTAAATATAGTAGAAGAGGCTGGGATGGCATGATAAAATTATGGAGGAAACAGCTTCATCAATGGGATCCTCCTGAAGACAACAATGCTGATTAAAAATAAAATTGAAACTTTATTTTGTTACATAAATATTTAATTTTGTAATACTATTTCTGGTTCCATGTCATTGTGGTTCCTCCACATATAAATATTAAGTCAAATGT